GACATAATAAACTGGAAAGATATTTCATGCTCATGGATTTGAAGAATTAACATGATTTATTAATTTTTAATATTTCATTTTATGTAAGTCTTACATCATTTTTCATTTTTGCACAATGTATGCATTTTCATTTTGATTATAGTCCCCATACAATTGCACCCCCCCTTATTTTGACCCTAGTCCTTCCTCTCCCTTTCCCTCCCACCCCCCGTAGTGTGTCTCTGGTTTATAGTTGCTTGTTGATTTTGATTTTTACTTTATATTAATTAGTCTTTTTCCTGGTCCCTTATTTAGGTTTTTTAAATTCCTGCTATGAGGGAGACTATCCAGTATTTTTCTTTTTCTTTCTGACTTATTTTGCTGATCATGATCCCTTCTAGCTCTATCCATGTTGCTGCAAATTCCATGTGTTTCTCTTTTTTGATTGCTGAGTAAAATTATATTATGTATAGAGTAAAATTATATTATGTATATGCACCACATCTTCTTGATCCAGTCATCTATTTTTGAGCATTTGGGTTGTTTCCAAAGCTTAGCTATTGTAAATAGTACTACTATAAACAGGGATGCAGGTGCCCTTTGGAATTAATGTTTTTGTGTCCTTTGGGTAAATACCTAGAAGTGGAATTGCTGGATCATATGGAAGCTTATGTTTAGTAGGCCATGAAATCTCCACACAGCACTCCACAGTGGTTGGACCAGTTTGCACTCCCACCAACAGTGCAGGAGAGTTCCTTTTTCTCCACAACCTCACCAACATTTGTCATTGCTAATTTTTTTTTTAAATATGTGCCATTCTCACTGTTGTAAGATGGCTTCTCATTGTAGTTTTGATTTGCATTTCCCTGATTACAAGTGATGTTGAACATTTTTTCATTTGCCTGTTGGTCATATGCATTTCCTCTTTGGAGAAGTTTCTTTTTAGCTCTTCTGCCCATTTTTTTATAGATTTATTTATTTATTTATTTATACACATACTGGGTACAGTCAGAAATGCTGGAGGGAGAGAGGATTCACCAGAGCCAGAGCAGGGAACAGAACAGGCAGAGTGACGAAATACACTGCTGAGGGGAGCAGTGGGCGCAACAGGAGAGGTCTGCATGCTTGCCCATTTTTTGACTGGATTATTTTCTTTGTTTTTGTTGCGTCTCATCAGCTGTTTGCAGATTTTTGTGATCAGTCCTTTATCATCAGTGTTGTGTGCAAGAATTTTCTCCCAGTCGGTGAGGTTTCTCTTCATTTTGGTTATTGTCTCTTTAGCTGTTCAGAAGCTCTTTAATTTGATGTAGTTCCAGCTGTTTATCTTTGCCTTCACTATCACTGCTTTGGGTGATGTAAAGATGTCTGTAAAGATGTCTTTGATGTGCATGTCATGTATTATTTCACCTATATTTTCTTCTATGTATTTTATGGTTTTGTTTTGTGTCTAGTTCTTTAATCCATTTTGAGTTGGTTTTTGTGCATGGCATGAGGCAGTAGTCTAGCTTCATTCTTTTGCATGTAGCCACCCAGTTTTCCCAGCACCATTTATTGAACAAATTTTCTTTGCTCCAGTGCAAAAACTGGTTCTTCAAAAAAATAAATAAAATAGACAAACCCTTAGCCAGGCTCACAAAGGAAAAATGGGAGAAAGCACAAATAAATAAGATCACAAATGAAAGAGGAGAAATCACAACAGACACAGCAAAAATCAAAAGAATAATCAGAAATTACTACGAACAGTTATATGCAAACAAGTTCAACAATCTAGAAGAGACGGAAAAATTCCTACAACTCTGCAGTCACCCAAAGCTAGATAAAGAAGAAATTGTACACCTAAACAGACCAATTACAAGCAGCGAAATTGAAATGGTAATCAAAAACCTCCCCAAAAACAAAAGCCCAGGACCTGATGGATTTACAAATGAATTCTACCAAACATTCAGAAATGAATTAGTGGCTATCCTTCACAAACTCTTTCAGAATTAACATTATTAACATGGTTATCCTACACAAAGCAACATACAGATTCAATGCAATTCCTATCAAGTGTCCACTGGCGTTCTTCAAATAAATAAAACTTTTCTGAAACCTTGCCAAAATGATCCTGATAAAACAAAAGTGGTAGCACCACACTCCCAGGTTTCATACTATATTACAAAGATAATAGTATCAAGGAGTATGGTACTTTAACAAAAACAGACACACAAAGCAATGCAATAGAATTGAGACCCCCAGAAAGAAATCCGATTCTAAGAAACATTAATCTACAATAAAGGAACCAATGTCATACACTCAAGAAAGGAGAGTCTCTTCAATGAATAGTGCTGGAAAACTAGAAAGCCACATGCAAAATAATGAAACTAGATTACTACCTCCTACCTTGCACAAAAATTAAGTCAAAGTGGAAAAAAAGATGGTTATAAGACCTGAAACTGTAAAGTACAAAGAAGAAAACATGGGACAAACATTCCACAACACTGGCTTCACAGATGTCCTTCAGGATATGTTTCCAAAAGCAAGATAAGTAAAATAATTATAAGCAAATGGGATTACATGAAATTAACAAAGATTTTTGCACAGCAAAGAAAAAAATACCACTAAAACAAAAAGATATCCTACTGAATGGGAGAAATATGTCACGCATCAAACTCACAAAGGGCTGATATCCAGCTCTAAAGAACACATGCAACTGAATAAAAAGAAAACAATTAATCCAATCAATAAATGGCCTGAAGACCTAAACAGACACTTTTCTAAAAAAGATATACAGATGGGCAACAGGACAATAAGAAAATGTTCCTCATCATTTATCCTCAAGTAAATGCAAATCCAAACCACAATAAGATGGTACCTCATGCTATGAGAATGAACTATATCAAAAGACCAGAAGTGACAAGAACATGGAGTTAAAAGAACCCTCCCCCGCATGCACTGTTGGTGGGGATGTAGACTAATCCAGAATTTAAAGAAAACTGTGTGGAGGTTTCTAAAACTACTAAACATTGGATCTTCCATATGACCCAGCAATTCCACTCCTAGGTATCTACCTTAAGAACTAAACAATCATATGGTCAAAATAAGGGGGGTGGGAATTCTATGGGGACTATAATCAAGACAAAAATGCATACATTGTGCAAAAATGAAAAATGATGTAAAATATATAAAATAAAAAGATACATAAAGAATAAAGTGATCAAGTTAAGTCACAAAAAAGAATGAAACAATTATAAATTCAAATAATATATGCACTCCTATATTCACTGCAGTCTTAATACAATAGTGAAGTGATAGAAGGAAACTGTGTCCAAGGACAGAACAATGTATCAGAAAAATGTATTGTATATATACAGTGGAAAATACTCAACTCTAAGTTGAGTTGCCATTTGAGAAAACATGCATGAAGCTGAAGAGGATAATGCTAAATAAAATAAGTCAGAAGGAGAAAGACAAATGCCAGATGGAATCATTTATATGTGTGGGAATGTCAAAAATCAAAACAAAGACTAAAACTACACTAAAGCAGTAACAAACCCTTGACATCTGACTGCAAAACTGAGGCAACCAGATGAAGGGTGTTAGGCTGGGACCCAATGAAGCCCAGGAAAAAGATTTTTGGGAGTAATGTAAAAATAAGCATTTGTAAAAGTTTGGGCCTATAATCCCTAAAGTAAACACAATTACACAAACCAAATTTTCCTCAATACAAATAAACAAATAGCTAATGGGATGATACAAATACTTAATAAACTTCAAATAAACAAATTTTATTTAATCCAGAATCTTTATGTATTATTTAGACCCAGAAATCTCTGTTTAGCAAGGTTTCATTTGATATCACAGAAAAATAAAGCTCAAAAAGTTGCTAAGTGTTCACCAAAGCAGTGCCTTACTTCAGCATCTAACAAAAATTTGGAAATATTGAATAAATTATACTTCCATAGTATTATTAAGATTGGGATGACAAAATTATCCTGATATAAGTTATCCTTCAAGATCAATGAACAACCTATTTCCTTAATGTGTTGAGAAATATGCAAATATAATTAATAATGCAATTTTAAATTAATAACAATGATAATACTTAAAGTGGGTGTTTATTATATGCAAAACTCAATTTTAAATATTTATGCTATGTTTATTAATTTATTTAATCTTCCTAATAACCCTAACTGGCAAGTATTAACTCTTCTCTCCTTTCAGATAGGTAGAATTGAGGAACAGAAGGTTAGGCCGCCTGTTAGTCAGCTAGTAAGGACATGTACTTTAGATTTTGCACTCTTAACTACTGTAATATGGTGTGTATGACATCACTGATGACTTTTATTCCTTTAATCTACAGATTCCAAAATAAATACTTATTCCAAGCGTTACACATTAAAAATAATTGTCACATGGTATCTCTGCAAACATTAGAATATATCAAATCACTATCAAATAAGTAATCTAAGAACGAGAAGGATATATGTAATACCATATAGCTAAGGGTACTCAGAAAGAGAGTTGCAAAGATAACCAAGGTAAAAAACAAAAACAAAAACAAAAAAACAACAAAACAAAACAGTGTGACCCTTCCTTCCCTTCTCCAAGCGAAGGTAGCTGATAGTAAGCCCAAGTAGCAGAAAAGTAATCTCTGCAAACAGCAACTGTGAAGAAATTACTAACAGACAAGTATTCATCTCTTAAGGTGCCCAGGCTTTCTGTCAATATGTACATGTAAAGGATGTATCCCTGTAAGGCTATCCAACTATATCTATGTGCCCAAGGGTTGGGAGAGATCAATTATGGTGATCAGATAATTTTGCAACAGTTCCAGCCACAGCTAGAATACACTTGCAAGCAAGTTTTTGTTTTATTTTTTCTAGTTTGGGAAATATTGCAGGAGATGCCCTCGTTAGGTTAGGTTATGCTGGCTTTTGCAGAAATCCTAGGAGAGAAAACATTGTGTCTTTGCCCTCCCAAATTTCTCCCACCACTATGTCCATTTCCTCCCCAATATCCCATGAACTCCTCTTGCTTACTTGGGATAATTTCTAGATCGAATGAAGGGCAGCATCTCGGAGTCGTGACTAGATGGTGGGAGTAATAAATCACGAAATCGTTCTGTCAAAACATCAAGTTGTAAAAAAAGCCATGAAATTGATATCAAAATAAAATTATTTCATATTCTCTTATTTTCTATCTTAATCCATATCCTTTATTAGAAATTTGTCTAGCTTATTATACATTACTAAAATGTGCCCATATTTCACTTTAATGAACATCATTTTATTATCATCACAACTCCAATATAAAAATGCCGAGTATTTTTATTGGTATAGACTAATAAAATCTTGTAACTGAAAGATTATGGGAAACACATATGACCAATAAATATACCAACAGAGTCACGGTCTCATTAATAAGCTGAGAAATGCAAATCAAAATGCATGCCACTAGGTAGCATTCACATTACAAAGCAAAGAATTGACAGAATTTAACCTTGCAAGACTAAGTCTTAATTATCTGAATTAGTTTTATGAGTCAATATTTCCATTCCCATGCAAATATTCTGCAGAAACTTTCATGTATCAGGCAACAAGTAAAATAGTATAGTGGAACTGTTCATATCAACATAAATGGAAACAAATTGCCCACCAGCAAAAGAAAGGGAAATCTGTGGTATATCACACAATGGAATATTAATTGAAGTAAAAGTGAATTAATTTACAAATAGAAACATAGGAAATTATATTAGTAAGATATTGGGTGGAAAAGATGCCAGCACCTTACATGTCATTTTTTAAGTTGAAAAACACTAAGAAATTTATTGTTTAGGTATGTTATGACTGAAACTGAGCAAACCAATAAAGAAAGGATGATATACATAATTAGGGATAATGGCTACTTTTTTCAGGAAGGGGATGAAATACAAAAGCTAAAGGGTAATTATTCATATTTCATATGCCTCACTAAAAGCATCACAGGCTTAGGATTACCCAAACTGGCAATTTGAGTAGTAAAATTCTATGTTTATGAAATTTTCATGAATAAAGAAGGGAAAAAAGGAATGAGGGAGAGGGAAGGAGGAAAAGAGAGAGAGAAGTAGAAGAATAAAAAAATGAAAATAGAAACAAAGGGGAAGGGCAAATGGTAGTGTGGAGGAAAGAAGGATTTCAATTCTACCTTAGAAATAGTTATACTGCAGGGGCCTCCTTGGTGGCACAAAGGGTTAAGGTGCAACCTATGAAGCTGTCTGCAGCCTCTGCAGCATGAGTTTGATCCCCAGCCAGGAAGTAACCCACATGGCACAGTAGACCTCTCCTGTCACATCTGCTGCTCCCCTCAGCAGTGTACTTTGGTCAATCTGCCTGTTCTGCTCCCCACTTTATCTCTGGTGAATCCTCTAATCCCCCACGCCTCTGGCCTGTACCCCAGCTCTTCTATGCATAAATAAATAAACCTTAAAAAAAGAAATAGTTATCCTGCATAGTTATCTACATTGAACAGAGCAATCTATCACTCCAATATTGATCCCACATTTCCAGTTGATGATCAATACCTCTAGCGCCATCACTATGGGGTACCTTCCTTGGCTCCTCTTTCATTTCTTCTTGCCAAATCCATAATAGATGGCCTTGTTGTGTGCCCCTAGTATAGTAAGGTTCTTATATTCTCATAAAATTTATTACACTACATTTTAATTTTTATATAATTTATCTCTTCACCCCTCCCTATACTAGAAGCGTATTGTGTTGCCAGGATATCAAATATTATGTGGTACATATTAAGATACTAGATACATTTTAGTTGAAAAAAATATTCCCACTTTTCATTTTTACTGGATACAGCAAACTGTAAGCTGAGGATAATCATAATGTACTACAGAAAGTTCTATTGGTCACTTACCAGCCATGGACAGCATTGGAAACTGTACTCCATCCTTAACAGTCATACTATCAGATGGAGACAGAAAGCAGGACTGAAACTCCAATTGTGCTAAGACCATCACTAACAGGGACAGCAATATCACAAATAATGTAAATCTACACTTTGCGACAATTATCACTCTCAGTACCCACATATCTAGATGTTAAATGATTATTTCAACATACAGCTGAGAAGCAGGATGTGGATTTTTATCTTCACATTTATTTTTTTTAAGATTTGTTTATTTATGCATACAAGAGCTGGGGTACAGGTCAGAGATGTGGGGGCAAGAGGATTCAACAGAGACAGAGTGAGGAACAGAACAGGCAGACTGACTGAAATACACTGCTGAGGGGAGCAGCGGGCGAGACAGGAGAGGTCTGCTGCACCATGTGGGTAGCTCCCTGGCCGGGAATCAAACTCTGTGCTGCAGAAGCTGCGGACAGCTTCATAGGTTGTGTCTTAACCCCTTGAGCCACCAGAGAGACCCCTATCTTCACATTTATTAGAAAACATTGAATCAGATATATTTAACTGACCACTACTCTCCCTTTTTGTACCTCTTTGACAGTTTTTATAATATACTTGGGTGGAATGCAAACAGAGGGATTTGTATTCTAAAATAAACAGAATCAAGAAAATGAAATTTTTTTCTCCTTCACACTCTTCAATTTGAGATCATGTTTTTTAAAATTATATTACTCATGATGTTTTCATGGAAAAAAAATGTTTACTTCAGTGAAATGACTAGTTAGCTGTGATATGACCCTTCCTTTTGAGTCTGTGTTCTAGTTTATATAGTATCCTATTAAATAAGAGATGTAAAGGAAAAGTGTTTATCCTTTTTATTTCTTTCCACTCCATTCCTCATTTTCCTAAAAACAGGTTGTAAACTAATAAAACTGTAACACAACAGCACATATGAATTTATATTTCAAGTAAAGAACTGCTTGCTCAGCTATACTGAATAAGAGTACTTTGGCTTCTATAAACATAATTATAAGTTTTACTAAATGGATATAAATGTAAACAGAACTCATAATTCTTAAGGAAACAACCACAAAATAATACAGTTATAGGTATATTCCTGTTTTATAATCACAAAGGATATTAAATTATAACTCTGGAAGAAAAATCTCTGGAAATGACACTATATTTATAGGACTGAAATAAGTAATGATGAGGGGTATATAAGAGATCAAATACAAAGCTATCTGACCTATGAAATCTACAAGTAAGTCTACATTGGGACAATCCTTGAATGTAAATATCGCAAATGCAAAAAATACCCCATGAACGTGAAGAAACTTGAGTGACTATTACATGGTCAAAAAAAAGTTCATATACACACAAAAATAAAACATACACGATACTCTAAAAGTATGTCCTTTTAAAATTTCAGTTGGGCCTCCCCAGTGGCGGAAGGGGTTAAGTCTCAGCATTATAAGCTGTCCCTGGCCACAGAGGCATGAGTTAGATCTCTGGCCAGGGAGCTGATCCACATGGCACAGCAGACCTCTTTGGTCCTGCTGCTCCCCTCAGCCATGTGTAATTCAGTAGATTGGCCTGTTCTGCTCCCCACTCTGTCTACACTCTAGTTCTTGTATGCATAAATAAATAAAAATAAATCTTTAAAAAATAAAATAAAATTTTGATCATTAAATTCATAGATTCTTAAATGTCAACAATTGCCTATATTACATAAAGGTAAAATGTTTCTCACTATTTTTCTTTATGAGAATAAAAATAAATCATAAAATTATATATAGAAAAACCCAGTAAATGAAAATTATTTATAATTCTTACAGTAGTTTTTCTTTAGACTCCAAGATTTCTGCCTTTCAACTATTTAATTAACATTACATACTTTAGCTATTATGGGGGGAAATAATCAAAAGAAATCGATGTTTCCAATGTTAAGAAGCAATACAATTTAAATAATGCCTCTTGAGTGAATGTCCCATCAGATAATATACTTTTTCAATAAGACTAAAGGTTAATACTTATAAAAATGGTATTTATCCAAACCCCTTCAGAGGGGTTCTTAGAACACTTTTGTTAAAGTAATTAAAAAGAACCAGAGACTTTTCTGTAAAGTGATATTCTGATGAGTTTACAATTGATGTGATAATGTATTAACATGATTTTTCTACCATCAAGGGATATCTCAATATACTTTTATAGACTTTCATATAATCTTACTTTTTCCCACTCAAGCAACAAAAGAGTCAGAGGCTTCATAGATGACACACTGCATACCATTTAATTAATTTGCATTCATTGGACAACCAGAGAATTTTGAGTTGTAATTCAGTATGCTTACTACTTAAAAATAGTCTTTCCAAATCTAATTCAGTTATTGATACATTAACTATGACTCAAGCTCTTTATTTTCTCCTTTGTCAAAAATGGCCAATCTCTCATCTTCCCAATATGCATAATGTAACAATTGCAACAATAATTTGCATAACAACAAAAACCAGTATGCATATGAATATATATTCCTGGGATAAGAAAACAAAATCTCCTCCTAATCAATGTAAAAATAAAAAATGAGAGAAAAAAATCACTGAAAAGAAAATGAACAGGCATTGCTATTATTTTACTTATTTATTCATTTATTTAAAATTTTCTTTTTTTTTATTTAGGTAACATTCATTTACACCCCTGTAAATGATTCAGAGTTATAGGAAAACATATGTATGCATGTTATGTATGTTATGTATATTCATATGTATGTTACCAGACCACAACACCATCAAGGTACCATTGAGCCTCCAACATTATGCCCCTTCCACACTCTATTTTCAGCCCACCTCCGGACCTGGTAGCATCTATTCTATATTCAAGATGCCTAGGGTTTATTGTTGGCTGGTCCTTTGTTTTGTTTTGCCATATTACACATATAAGTGAATGTAATTTGTATCTGTCTTTCTTTTTCTGACTTATGTTGCTTAACATAATGCCTTCCAGTTCCATTCCTGTCACTGTTATTGCAAATGACAACAGTACATTTTTCTATAACTGTGTAATAATAGCATTGGGTTTACATATGTATCTTCAATCCACTCATCTGTCATGAGGTACTTAGTTTCTATAACTTAGCTGTTGTAAATAGTGTTACAATGAATACAGAAGTGCATATATCCCTTTAAATCAGTACTTCTGTATCCTTTACATACATACCCATGAGT